GCTGGATCTCGTCTCCCGCAGGACTCAAGTCCAACAGAGTAAACTCCATGCCGTCAAAATTGTTGATTCGATGATGATGATGCCGAGGACAGTTAGGCCCACAGCGCTCGAGAGGCCCAGATAGAATAGAAAAGGGCAGTGGTTGGAGTGCGCTATAGTCCTGCTCATTGCTGAGCACACACACAGTATGGGAGGTATCTTATAAGATCGGTAATCTCAGATTGAAGAACCGGTAATAGTAAAAATGCGCACCAGTAAAGAGCAGAGAATTATTTTTAATGACTCTCTCCACCGCATACGCCACGATTTCTGGCATGAGAACAGCCACATTGGCTGGTCCTGCCTTCACATTTGGGATCACTAGCTGTGCGGCAAGCATAACTCCTAGCACATAGTTGTTTTGTTCGTCACGGAGAAGTGCTCGCACCGATACTATGCGAATGAGTTCGGATTTCAGACGGTAAAAGACAACTCACATTGTGCCACAAGTGGTGGCTCTGCGCCTTCATCCTCACTCTTCTTGTCAAGTTTCTCGCCCCCCTTCTTTTGGCCTCCAGGTTCAACATCGCTTTCGCTTTCGCTGTCGCTGTTGCTGTCGCTTTTACTTTCATTTGCATTTGCGTTTGTGTTGATATTTGTGCTGTGGTTTTCTGGGCTGCTATCTGAGCTTGAGTCGCTGTCTGAGGTGCTGTCGGAGTTGCTGTCAGAGCTGTTGTCCGACCTGCTGTCAGAGTCGCCATCAGAGTCGCCGTCGGAGTCACGGTCGGAATCACTGTCGGAGTCGCTGTCAGAGCTGTGCTTCTGCGAGAAGCTCTCAATGTCGCTTTTTCTCTGGCCCTCGCTGCCCACTAACTCTGAGTCGCTCTCGATGTCATCCTTTTTGTTTTGCTGCTTGTCCTCCAACTCGTAGCTATCGATCTCGCTCTCGTTGTGGTCCCGGCCGTTCTCTGCCCTAGGTGTTTTCTTCTGTTTGCTTCTGTTTTGAGTAGCCTTCGCTTTTTTGTTGACCTTCTGTGTGCCGGCACCGGTCTTCTATAAGATTTCGTCAGCATCGGCAAGAAATTTAAAGTTTAACGTTTATGACATTGACAGCTACTAAGCCTGTGAGTTGTCAATCTATATATGCGAATTCATCACGTACGAGCTGCGGGGACTGCCCAGTACTGGTGCTGAATAAGTTTGAAGAGAATACGTTCGGTGTCGGTGAAATTGCTGTCCCAAGTTCCTGGTGCCAAACGCTTATAGTTGTACAAAACTCCCTTGGACTTCACAATAACACCAATCATTGCAGGTGGGGGCAAGCCGACAAGAGCCAGATCACGTCCCACGCCGCTGGGCTGAGCCATCTTCTTCTTCGCGGACTCGCATATTTGCGAGAGTTTTAATATCATTGGCGGTAATAGCCCCGTTGCTGAGGGCATTCTCCAGGGTGGCTGCATCTAGTGCGGCGAGCTTGTCTGAAGTCATCGTTAGACCAAAGAGTTGGGTAGTTGTGACAGTCCATTGTGCCGCAGTGTTTTTTTTTCAATGACCACTGAGGTAACACTTAGAAAGATCCCCCAGTGACTTATATGATCGACATTCTGAAGCATACTATAAGATTTTATTATACAGTGCTCCACGCCTTATAGTTACGCTTCCAGGTATTTTTATGAGGCGAAAAACCTGCCGCTTGGGTACGAGCGTCACCCTTTTTGACTCCCATTGCAACTAACCGGTCATACTCCCGGAATATAGCGTCAGTTAGCGGAGGATTGCGTGAAGCAACAGAGTTCTGAGCTTTTGGAGGTTCAGCCTTGCTACTAGTATGAGTTTAGTTATATACCGTCAATGAATAGAGCCATACCTGGTAGCCTCTGGCGACAATGTCAGATCGATAATGCTCTCGCTGATTGAGATCAATACGTGAGACGAGAGGTATGGGAGTTGACTTACACGATCTTGTGTTTTTTTAGTTGGCGATGAATTGACAGAATCTGGGGTAATTGCTCGTTTTTCTGCTCGAGCGACAGAGGCGATACGAGAAAATGGCTTGCCCGCAAGTTCAAATGGCGCCAAGTAGAGTACTTGTTCCACCTTCACATTTGTCAGAGGAACAGCACGCGCGCCATCCAGATATCGTCTTCAGCAATGCAGAACTGCTCAAGAAAAGCAGCCGATAATCCAGACAACCGGTGTAAAGCCGCACAAGACGCTGGCTCGAAATGTGGAAGGTTCGGCGCTGGAACAAGAATTGGTGGCTTTGACGTATTGACAGTCTAATATAGAGTTGAGATATCGAGACAAGTGAGTAATTGATGCCATACCTCGTACCAGACCACGGTCACAACAAGCGAAGTAACTCGTGCCATAGTTGAACGCGTGGGTGAAGCCCGTACTGGAACACCTTGGAGCGCAGCATCGACAAAGTTAGCCGGAAGTGTGTTAAGGTAGTATTGAGAAACGTTCTGCCCATGACTATGGCTCACATGTGGCTGAAAAGTGCCCGGAGGTGCCCAATTTGAGCCAACAAGTGATGTTTCCGCAACAACTTTTTTGGGGCCGGTCGGCGCTTTTGATTTGGTGGCTAAATAACTGAATAAGCACAGAGATAACGCTTCCGGACAAAAAATATACGGCTGGTCTCCGATATAACCTTCTGTACGGTGTTCGTTGTTTTAGTGTTTGATTTTGTGGCTGAAAGATGTTTTTGTTGGTCGAGAAAAATGTGTGAGGCAAGGAACATACGCGTTTTATTTGACCCAGACACCATATGTGGCCCAAGCTTGCAGACGTGAGACGCGTCATCGAGAAAAGCCGCATAGCAGCAAGATTGGCATTTGAAATGAGTGCAACCAGAGTTTCGCTTGTTCACACCGCCACATGTCGCCTCTTTCGCACAGAGAAACTGAGAGTTTCTAGGCTATGCAAGAGTATTCAACCTGTGTAGACCGAGAGTGGAGTATAGCCAGCTCACCTTGAGATTAATAGACTGGGTATCAAGCCAAAGCCCATCGCAAATGTCTTCGAGTGCCGCATCCGTCATCCAGTTGTTCTTCGAGCGTCGATCATAAGCGCGAGAACACTATAGCGATGAAGGGCAAAGTATACAGTAGGCGGAATAAAAAATAACCTTGGTTATGTATTGGCCCTTGAACTCGTTTGAATAGGTCCCATGAACAAGAAAGGAGAAGAGGATTGTGCCTGGCTGCTTGCGTTGCTTGAGAAGACACCGGGGGCATTGTGTTAATGCCTTTGGAACGTCGCCACCTCGGAAGAGGCTCATGATGACAGAAGGAAGGAAATGGTCGTGTCACAGACCTGAGTAGTTTTCTCGAGAGAAAATGACTGAAGGAGCATAGTGGGTCCTCGAGGAACAAGTTGAGTCGCGTTGTGATGGCTGATCATAAAGATCCCCGGAGGCGACCGGCATATGTGCCTGCAGTCTCATCGCTTTATAACCTGAAGGTACAACTATACTCACCTTCGGGCAAGTATGCATAGTGCCCTCAGGGATCATATAATGACCCCGGAGGCAAAATCATATTTTGTTCCCGAAGTGAGGATAATTATTGCCCGAGGGCACGAATATCTCACTCAAGGTACTTAAAATTAGTTGCCTGGAGGTACACCCCAAACATACCTGAGGGCAAATTTCTTTATGCCTTTAGGCACTTTTTGCAATGGCCTTCAGGCGCAATTATAGGTCCCTGAGGGTGTAAAATTTAATTGCCTTCAGTCACAGATCTCATGTTCCCGCAGGCACAAGTGCGGATTGCCTGCGGGTACAAATTTTGCGCCTTCAGGTGCGAATATAGGTCCCTTCAGTGACAAATCAAATGTCCCTTCAGGCAAAATCAAAAAAAGGGGCCGTTTTGGGGCCATTCGCCCGATTTGGACGGCCGTTTGTACAGGACTGGGTTTGGTCTCTATACGGAGTTCAAACCACATAGATTGTCCAAATTCAACTCAAGTACTGGCAAAACTGCGTAGTAATGCTCATGTTGTTGAGATCAGCATTCCTTCATTCATCAAATCGTCAGACAACACTGGCAATCAAGACATCGACGACCAAGACTACTCGAAGAAACTTTGAGCAACCTTCGCATCGACAACTAGCGACAACTTGTATAATGCAAGGAATAATGTCTTATTCAAACCACACTGTGCCTTATCTTCACGGTCCTCCATCCCGTTTGTCCCAGCCGCCTTAAGCTTGCTCATGACTTTCTATCAGTTACTCCCTCAATTGCCAGCGCAATGCCACTGACACTGCGGTCAAAGAGGCGTCTTTGAATCTTCTTTGGCGCTGGGCGTTGAAAGCACATATTGAAGTTGGATGAGAAAATGTTCACTACAACGCGCCAATGAACGAAAACGAGTTGCTGTGTTCTCGTTTCTTTGGCCTGCGATCTGCCTTGTGGATCTCAGCCAAACGCCGCTACATCAATCTCGAGTCAGTGTTGCAACAGATTCTCCGAATTCGAATTCCTCCGGGAAAGCTTCAACGAGCCGGGGTCCCGGCTTTCCTTGTTCTCAACGACTACTCCGCTGCCCTTCTCCCCGTCGGCACAGATACGAGAGGTTTCGGCAGACATCGGCAATGGGTCCTCACATGGACAGATAGCAGCCGCTGGTTTGACCACTGAGCGATACTTAGCAGGCATGTCGTATGAGTAAAGGACTTGTCTTGGGGGTCGAAAGTTCATTGGCCATCCGCTTTTGTAGGTCTAGCCTTCAGACTCGATTCAACGCGCCATTTTTCGTGGTTTCGCTTTTAGGTGTTGTCTGCGCAGAAGAAGTAAGCAACCTGGACAATAAACACGTAAGTATATTGTGATAATACAAGGGTAAGTGAGTGTGAAGAGATCCGTGAGTCCAGAGACAAGGTACGAGGTGGAAAGAGCGCTGTGGGATATGGTGACCATGGGCTATGAGTTTAACGAATAACAAGAGACGGTAGGGAGAAGCTATGAGATACAGTTGTCCGCTGGAGTTGTTGGTGGAGTGGAGAAAGTTGCCTATGTTGGGACGGAGACTGTTTCTGGGGGTGGGTGTGGTACAGGAACGAGAGTTTCTTGAGAGACTGTTACAATATCAGCGACAGGCAACGGCGGAGTTGTTGCTCGTGTCGTTTCGGAGTGGGTGCCGTCGTTGGCAGTGAACGGCTTCTCGGCGACATTTTGAGGCTCGTCGTCAAAAGGGGCGCCATGCTCTGCAAACCACTTTCTTAGCCAAGCGTTGGCTATCTTGTACGCGTCTTTCGTCCCGTCCAACAAACCCCGAATGACATCCTTGTCAGCATCCTCCTCTTCTGCGGCCTGTTTGATTTGGGTGCATGCCTGAGCGACACGAGAAATGCCAATTGTGGCGGAGGATCCGGCAATAAAGTGTGCCCTGTCAGCGACAGTCTTCAGGTCAGAATTTGACCTATAATTATTTTGGTTAGCCATGATTTACGGCGAGAACGTCATCGACGACGCACAATGCAGCGCTCATTAGCTCAAATGCCTCCGGGCCTTGTATGAAGTAGAGTGCGACCATGTCTTTCGAAAAGCTTCGAGTCTCATCGTCCTCGTCCAACTCTAGAATCTGTGTAAAGGCCTCGGGGTCAATGGGTGCATCTGGCTCCAAGTCCAGAAGCTGTGAAATAAGCATTAGGAGGGTCAGAAGTGGAAGGACAAAGTCTTGCCATCAGGTCGTGGGGGGATGAGAACAAGAAGGTAAGCCGTGACTCGCGCCGACAAGGTCGATGCCAATGGCAACTTTATATCTCTGATTGCCAGCCGCGTTATCATGCCGTAAGGACTCCCTACTAGTTTTCAAACCGACGAAAACACCCTCGTTTTGCTTCGCCAGTGTGCGACTTGCCTTCCGTCGACGCCACCAAATTGCTCTATTCAACAAGATCGATTTCATCGATGCTCAGGGTTTCTATGTTCAAAACGTGTGTTAAATGCAGGAAACGAGAGGGAAACAGGTTAGAGATCCATGGAAAGCTTTTACAACAGGTATTGACCGGTCAAACAACACTGGGCTCCTTGTCGAGGTATAGTAGAGTGTGTTACAGCGCAATCAGCACAACGGCTAGATGCAGGCTCGGAGTCGGAATGACGGACCGGCGGGACATATCTTGAGAAAGTAGAGGGAGATTACGAAGCGGTGGCAGCAGTTGGGGGTGGGTCTCCACCGTCGTCATCAAACGGGGCCTTCTTCTCTTTGTAGAATTTCTTCAACCACCGCTCCGCCTCCGCGTATTCTGACTTGGTCTCGGGAAGTAACACTTGCATCCGCGAAAGCGCCTCCGCCTTATCAATAGCGGCGACCCCATCGTCGTCTCGGAGGTTGCCGTAGTGTTGCATCTTCTCGCATGCGTTCTGGACTCGACTAATTCCCAACGCGGCAGACGAGCCCTTCAGAAAATGTCCGAGTGATGAGAGTTCGGGAAGGTCCTTCGCTGCTCTGCATTAAGTGAGTGCAGATCGACTCAAGGGAATGCCTTTAACCCACAAGGCTTTGTCCATATTCTTGAATGTGGACGACGCCTGCGAGAAATAGGCTGTCACCATCTCCTTCGAAAACTCGTGTGAGTCCTCGTCGTCCAACTCCAGAATTTGCTCGAAGATTTCCATATTGACCGCCTTCACGACCAGCAAAGCAGGATGAGCTCCCGATCTCAACTACTCATGGAAACGGACCTCGGATTCAGTCGAGGACGATGATTCGCCGGGAACAGCGACAAGGGACTCAGAGGTGTTTGCGTTTGTGGATTTGCCATTGGTTTCTGTGACAGAAGTTGAAGTACGCTCAGGCGAGGGCGATTTGGCCTTGGTCTTTGCAGTAGTGGTCTCGACCATTCTTATGGCAGGAAACCAAAGACGAGTTCCGTGATGATGTCATCCCGCCATCACTACCTCGGGCCGGCCAGATTGGAGAGCTGATTTGAGTTGGGTTCAAGTCACTTTTTTAACATCTCAGAGTTCGGATACACTTCTTTCTGGACCCTCGAAAATACAGCATGCGTGATGAGGTCAAAATCAATGACCTTCTAATAATGCCGCCAATCGTTCCCTCGCCTTTTCGGTGTCCACGCGTCCTTTGCTCTCCCGTATGACCCATCCAAGAATTTTATTCAACACATTCTTGTTTGCTCCAGTTTGGAAGGCGGTAGCCTCAGAGGGAAGCGCTGTAATGGCTGCCAGACAGAGTTTATCGAGGTCGAGCGTGGGATCAGAGAGGAGTGAGAGTGACCGTGCGCGCTCAGCCACACTTATTGATGCAGACGGAGAAGCAAGCATGTCGCGAAGGAGCAACTTCCCTGAAGCACCTGAGAGAAGTTTCAGCAACCATCAACCCATAGAAAGGTATGCTCACCAGTAATCATTCCGCTTTGCACAAGATCGACCACCTCCCCGAGTTGACGCGACGTGATTGGGTTGTCTGAAAAGGCCAAGTTCGCCGAATGAAGTCGTCCAAGCAGTTCGTGAATCATCCTATCGCCAAAATCTCAGCATGAGAAAGCGCATCGCAGGAAACATACCAATTAAACACTAGCCGCGGGTTTCTCCCATCTACACAGACTTGATTAAAATATGCAAGAGCCATCTCTTCGGCGAGCAACACGTCCGCATCCTTCTCGGACAACCCATGAACCTCAATCAAACGGGCTCGTGTAGCCCAGGGCAGTTCCGGAAGGGTTCTGCGAATACGCTCGATTCGTTGCTAGAAAGCTCTTCAACGAAATATACTCGGCAAACGTGACCTTACAGGTGGTAGTAGAAGTACTCCGAGATTTGGATCAGGCATGTACCTGTAGTCTGGCGCGTCCTCTTTGGAGCGCATCGGGAATGTTTCAAACGTATCTTGATTGAATCCACGCGTTTCTTGTTGAACTGTCGCTCCTTGCACATATAGAGCACGATGGCGCTCGATTTCGTAGACTATAACTGGTAAGACTCGCCTCAAGAGTCATTTGCACTCACGAATTGCGGACTGCATGAATTTAACACTGTTAAGATTCTTAATCTCGCAGCGGGTGCCTAGTGGCTCTCCAGCGCGGTTGATCGAGACATTCACATCGCAGCGTAGAGAGCCCTGCCGAGGTTTAGTTAGTAGAAAGCCGAAGGAAGTAGAGGACTTACCGTCTCCATATTTCCATCGCTAGCTCCAACGGCACGAAGGATGGACTGTAGAGTGCGGACATACATCCCAGCTTCTTCTGGGGACCGTATATCGGGTTCCGTGACGATTTCCATGAGCGCGCTACCAGCTCTATTGAGATCTATACTGGAAGTACGCGTCCGCGGGTCAAAAGTTGTCTTCGCGGTATCCTAATGGGCTTATTGGATTGTACAATTGCATCGAGAAAAAAAGTAATCTCACCTGCTCTAGTTGAATTTGGTTGATTCGAATAGCAGAGTTTCGGTTTGTCAAAGCAACAGTCCCGCCTACTGCTATGGGTTCTATAGCGAAGGTGAAGAGCAATCGATGATAAGAACACAAAACCTACCATAGTGCTGCGTTATTTGATAACCCGCAGGCAGGTCGGGATAGAAATAGTGTTTTCTGTCGAACGAGGACCGCGGCTGGATGTCGGCATTGAGGGCTACGGCAGTTCTCAGCGCCAGGTCAACGCATTCTTGATTCAAACTCTGCATGAATCGTAAGAAAAGGGAGAAAGTTGGTATTGTTGGCGACAGACTGGGAGCGTGCCCGGAAAAGCGACATCGAAAGGAGTAACACTAGTGTTGGGCGCATCTTTCAATGCAGGCGTTGGAGAGTCTTTGAGCACCCGTCGACAATTTTTCCACGCGACTCGGGGAAGAACGCACTTACTGGAGAATAACTTGTGTTGTGATTTGATTTGCGCGTGGGTTTCGATGCCAATGACAACCTCCCAGCCAGGCCAACGTTCATCGTGAATTCCTCGGAGGAGGAGACGAACGGTGTTGTTTGTCCTCTGCGGCCATGACCGCAAGAGCATAGACTCGATTGCGGCGTGACATTTTTGTAACCTTGCTCCCACCACGGGATATCTTTTGCTTTCTGGACCAGGAGCGGCGCAATCTTATCGTGTCAGCGCAGCGTTAATGGAACTCCACCCTTCAACCGCTGCTTCAGGCGCTTAAGCCACAATGACTTGGTTAAAGAGGCTCAAGCTTCGAATCCTGCCCTTGGCCTCGTGTCGGAACCTGCGCTACTCCTCCCACCATGAACGAGATCCTCCCATTGAAGAATAAAGCTCTCCGCAACCTGAACATCCTAAGATATAAGGTGAGCAATCACTCAGTTTGAGGAGACATCGCCGGCATTTAATTTCGCCTAAAGAACCTCCAGTCTCCTGCTGAAGAGGCCCATCTTGATTTCCAGCGTCGACAAGCTGACTCGCAGGATCCAGTGCTGCAGAAAGCCTGGTTTCACTCTATGAACAACGCTTTTGAAGAAATCGACGACGTGCTCAAGGTCGTCCCACAGACATCCCGTATTCACTTCCTTGATCTCGGGTAAGCGCAAATCTCGACTCTCTACGAGCACTGAAGCTAGCTCAACTTCAAGCTGCTGTCCTGGCGGATTTACTTCTTATATCTTGAGTAAAAACTCAAAGGCCTACGGGACTGGGATCTCTTTACCAGTCGAAAACGGAGGCCATGCATGCTTACTCAATGAAGACCATCTCAAGCGGTTTAAACTCTACTGGGCTGATCTGACACGCTTTCAACTTGGCGCGGTACTTATCAACGATCCCAGCCTCCAGTCCCTCCCCATTGTGCCACAGTCATTCGATTTAGTCCTCATTGACGGACACCCATTACGCCCAAGCACGAACGGATCACACCATCACCTCCCGGCCTCCTTCTATCTCCTCAGCGACCGTCTCCTCATATCTCAGCTCATCATTGGCCTCGCTGCTGCGGCTTCTGGTAGTACCATCATCGTCAAAGCCTCCAAACCCGAACGAATCATCACATCACAACTGATGTTTCTATTTGACCTCCTCTGCGTGGATGTCCGTACTTGGAAGCCTGTTTGCATCCACGGCACGCGCTCAACATTTTACATTGTTGGCAAGGGGTTTGGATATGGCCGATTCGCTTATCGCAAGGAACAAATCTTGGCGGACTTGATGGATCTGTGGGTCCAGCTATCTTACTACGGCGGGAAAGGACGACGTCTATTCCCTGATGACCTTGACTTCATTGCTGATCGTGCTGTTCTTAAGGGGCCATATGCCCCACGACTCCAGCAATTGAGCCAGCATATATGGACAGCGCAGTCGCAATGTCTTGAGGGTTGGCAGAATGCGAAAGCGGAGGGATTTTAGCCCCAGGTCTCTGCCTTTGTTGATTGTAGTATTGGTTTTGTCATTTGTCGATCACTTTATCGTTGCCTACCCCGCGTATACCGTGTCATCTCCGTGAACACTACGCTGTGTACTGTACCCTTGGCGCATCTGGAGCCATTTATAAAGCGCTGCTGAATTTCCAGACTTTATTGTGTTTCGCCTCTTCTGATTCTTTATGACTATACCTCTCAAATCGTGTTTATTTTTGCTGCTATCAGCAGTTTCCACTGCCTCGGCAAAGACATTGCTCACAAACGTAACGGACAACAAGATCGTTTCCAGCGGGGACTTTAAAACACTCGGTGCGCTGAAATGGCAATCGAGCGGTAAATACACATTCTCCCGATAGTTTCCGGCTCACTTGTGCAATAGGGATCTTGTTCGACGGCTGCTCCGATTCCGTGACATTCCCAATTGCAATCGACAAGTGCTTCAGTCTCCAACTCTCGGCCTCCCCTAAAGAGAACCTTCAAGCACCAAACGCCGACTCGCCTCGCCAACGCATCGAATTCCTCACGGAGGGTGCTGCCGATGGAGCCACCTTCCGGTATTCGTGGAAATATTACCTTTCCTCGAAGACAGGCACCACCAAGAACTTCTTCCACCTCATGCAATTGCTCATGCGAGACGGCGGTCCCGTGATCGCGTTGGATGCAGTGAACGACAAGGTTGCGTTACGAGACTTTGTTCGCGACTGCCCAGCGAAGGGATGTCCGAGTATTGATCTGGACGACTTTACGGACCGGACGACTGCACACGACATGCTCGTCACCTTTGGGCCAAACGGAGCGGTCCAATACACAGTCAAAGACAGTGTGGGAGGGAAGACACTGCTAAGTTACTCGGCCACTGGCGAGATGGGGAAGTCCTCTACATCGTAAACTTGCGTCATCACTTGAGAGCAATGGTCTGATCTGTTCTAGGTTGAAGTTCGGAATGTATAGGCTTGCGGTGGATGGGATGACGGCCGCTCGGTGAGTATCGATTTGTTTCAGAATCCTTGAATTCATCTCAGTTCAGTGCGGCATTGGGAGACTTTACGGTGAAGAAACTCTGAGTCTTGCGTTGTAGTCCATTATATTAGGCAGTCCTGCTTCGCATCACCTTCAGCACCTAATTTGAAAGATAATATGAGTCGTCCTTCTACAAACGAGAGCGTATTCTCTGAGCCAAGATCAAAGCGTCGTCATCATCGAGCTCTGAGCGTGATTCGAATTCAAGTCGGTGCATTGCTCGCTGAGATGGTGGTTCAGTGTCTGTTTTGGTATGCGCCGCCTCTTTTGAGGAGAACGTCGGAGCAGGAATGACGTGGTAGTGTACCTGCATGCTCTAAGTAATACACGCTGAAGGCGGACAGATTACGAACATGGGGAACAGCTTGTGCGTATTCTTGGTTGCAGACGACATTCAAACCGGTGTTGTCGAGGGCTGAAAAGAGGGTAGTCTATCTATGTTTCCTTGCGGACGAATTAGAAGACACACCTTGAGTCAGAGCTTTGGCCACCACACCAACTGCCTCACCCACCGCTCTCGAATACTCGCTCGGCAGCTCAGATACGCGAGAATAGTGGGTTTTCGGAATGACGAGTGTGTGCCCCCGTCTCAGAGGAAGGATATCAAGAATTGCTATCACGAGCGGAGTTTCGTAGACGATTGTGGCTGGTAAAGAACGGTCGATAATCTGGCAGAATGTGCAATTCGGGTCGTGTGCTGTTTCAGTTGATTGTGACGAGGGTGTATCCCATGGGGACGTCGGCCGGTTCACGTGGGCATTGATGAGGAAGGAAGTCATTTACGGCTTGGAAGAGAGTGGTGGTTCTGACCAAGGTGTGTGTCGACAGGATGATGTTACGGTCACGCGATCTGTCAAAGACGCGCGTCGTCACGTTTAGTATGTCACCCTGGAAAAAAGTTTCAGACATTCTCAAGGCAGGGTAAGAATTAGATGTAAGTAGGTATGTAGATATAAAGCGTGTTTCCGAGATAAGAGCACACAACACGAGGCCTCTGCTCTAAATAGCCACTGCCGCCCACTAACACGAGGCTAATTAGTGTCTCGAGCCCTTGATTCTGAGTGACTGCAGCGGAGAAGCGGACGGAACAAGGGAAGTTCCATAGATATGAAGCTGTAGAGATGAATGAACTGAGCCATGAGCACGAATATATACCACCGAAACATGTCGTATATTTTCTGGCAGTGTCAGAGGCACACTAAAAAGGGTAGAGGATAGAGAGGTACGGAGGACCTTGAATAGGACTGGTCCCGAGTGCCGGAAACTCGTAGGGTTGTCGTGATGAAGACCCTCCTTTCGCAACCGTCGGTCACGACGGAATTTAGAATGGATTTCTATGCCGGTTGCATGACCTTCCCGCAGCGAAGACTTGCTTGCATCGTGAAGCCCCGCAAACATGGATGTTGATTGCACACTCTTCGTAAGGCGTTGTTGATGTCGCTTTAATACACACCAGCAACGGCGCGACGGGAAAAGAGGCCCTCGAACTCGTCCCAGGGTCAACACAGTAGCCCTCGCTCACTTGACCCACCTCAAGCCAAGTGCTGATACCCTCACGTTCGAATGAACGCTCGAGTCCCAAAAGAACGGCGTGTCCGTCTGGAGCATATTCTTTTGGAAGCTTGGCTAGAGTTGAACGAAGAACAGAGAAGGAAGCTAATTTGTCACCATCTAGACAAGGTGAGAGTTCTGTTGTGTTTAGTTGCGAGAACTTGCCGAATTCAAGAGACCAAGATTTATCGCCTTGAAAAATGTTGTATGTGATCTGAAAACACAAAACAGTCTGACCAAGAGTGCTGATGAGAGGCTCTTCTACCATCCACATTTTGTATGCGCGCATGCCGGTAGGAAAGCCAGGAAATAGGGTCAGAAGCTGATCCAATGGCCAGTCACGGTAGATTCCAAGTGTGCGAAGGATCTTTGTGAAGTTTTGCGAGGATGACATAAAGGTAGGTCGATGAAGAGACTCTTCTTTATATGTTGTTGCATCGCCGTATAGCTTTTTAAGGCATATCAGACGATCAATTCCGGATGGAACAAGACATATGAGATATGCCTCGGTTGACGATCAATTCCGGACATATGAGATATGCCAACTGAGAAAAATATGAATGCTGCTTGACTAATTATAGCGACCATCACAGCGCAGAGATTAGACATTCGGTTATTAGAGAAAGAGTACGTGCCCAAATAGGGAAATATCAGAACAATTGCCGCGCATTTGCTGCCAAACCATCAAGCTAGGCCATCCTGGGTGTCCAGCGTGTTTACCAGTAGCCATGCATGTGTGGCTCCGAGCATCAAGGAGCGGGGAGAAATCAGCTGCTGGCGAGATTGAAGAGTTCAACAGCCATGGATCACGCATAACGCTGCAGATCTAAAAATGTACCCAAAGGGATGCGGAACTAGCCTTGACGAGGTTGTCCAGCCAGTCGTATGTAGCGGTCCAAGTGACAGAACACGGTGTGACAACACGTGGGCTGTCACGTGCACGCCTTCCTAAACCTGAACCGCGAATTAACGGCCATGGACTCTCAAGAAATGCGTTCCGAACCAATTGATATCGATATTATTGGTAGCGGACCGTCAACACCTGCCTCCGCGGGCCCACTCACGATTCAAGACGCGTCCTTACCCATTGCTGGTTCCTCTGGCACCCCTGCAGCTTCAGAGCCAACTATCGATATCTTCGCTGGGCCTCCAATACCCACTTCCGACAAAACTGCTGGTGAACAGGAACTCAAGAAGAAACGTGAAAGAAAGGAGGCCGCTCCGAAACCTGTCGTGCGTCCACCGGGAAAAAGTCTACTGCCCATCTCAAAGGTGCAAAATATCATCAAAGCGGACAAGGTGTGTGTGTGCTGTAATGCAAAACTACCTGTGTTATACTCATTGACGAGCATAGGAAATTACGCTGGTCGCGAGAGAGGCCACATTCTTGATCGCTTGCGCAACAGAAGAGTTCATGAAGCGCTTTGCGGAAGCTGCAATGGCTCAAGCAGAAAAGGACAAGAGGACCACACTGCAGTATAAGGATATGGGTGCGTCTATGTCAGGAATTGGACGCTCACTAATCTCGTCCGCTAGCGACTGTTGTGCGCAAGGCAGACGAGTTCTTATTTCTGGAAGGTCGTAAATCGCGATGTCCGACGCTCTTACTGATCTCGAATTCTTAGAAATAATACCATGGACACTGCCCGATGCACCAGTGAAGCGTAAAGTGAAGCCATCGAATTTGGGCACAGGCAGCACCACTTCCACCATGCTGGATCAATTCGTCGTACGGCCGAACGTAAGCGGTATCGGAGACGGAGAAGAGTCTGAGTCGCAGATTGTTTTGAATGAAGATGGGACGATGGGTGGGGAGTAGAAATCTCGTAGTAATCTCCTGTACTAATCTTGTACTTTTACCATCACGTGAGCCTGTGAGGGCAGCCTTTGGTCAGCCTCGTTCACTTCCTCTTTGCGATCCAGTGGACCAGAGGACAAAGCCTGGACTGTGATGAAGCTTGTCTCCACGTTTCATCAGCCAACATCTGTTGTCTATTCTCTGAAGTGCAATCTCTCAAGCGAACCGGTGGAATACCTCGTCCAAGCCAAACTCAATTCGCTCGAAGTTGCTTCAATCCAGCCTCATGGACTACAACGCGAATGTAGATGGGAGAGTTCAGGGGGGAATATTTTGTCTGTGAAATCGGTGTCGACGAGGGTGCGTCTCGTTACTTGGCTTCCGGATGATAATGCTGAAACATCTCTCAAAGGATGGCTCCAGAAGTAATCTCATTGTTCTTATCGACCACCCAGAGCCAGAGTTGGTATTCCTCGAGCTCAAACCTACCGGACTGGCAGTCACTAAGCGCCTCGACCTCGCAGAGCAGAAGCCGCATGCCGAATTTTGTGACCACAACAACCTTGTTGTCCACCCCGACGGCAAATTAGCTGTGGTCCATTGCTACACCGGAAAATTGCGTTTAGTTCGATTGAAGCGAGGTCGCTATGATCGCGACTCGGACTCCAAGTGAGTTCATTTTATTCTCCCGCACGATGTGATCTAAACGACGAAGTATCATGGAGTATGTTGTTTTTGCGCTCACCTTCCTGCCACCTCGACCACGTGAGGATTACCCCCTTGCAATTCTCCATCTCGACCACGAAAAACGCAGACAGTTGCTCGTTCACGCTGTAGACATCAACGACTTGGATATTTCCCGCGATGTGTCTGACGTTCTTCACCCAACGTGTATCCCTTCGAAACTCCTACCATTCCCTGCTGTCGGCGCTCCACCACCTATACTGATCCCTGTACCACGTCCAAGCTCTTTCGAGAACATATCTGATGATAAAGAGGGAGATACGACCACATTCATTGGCGGGGTGTTGGTTGTGGGCGGTTCCAAGATAATGCTTTACGAGCTCGCGGGAGAAAATGGGCGGGTCAAGCAGAGTAATAAGAGGCGGAGACTTGATCAAGCTAAACAGTCTGAATATCGACGAGAGCAAGCAGAAGCGAAAGAGGCGGAACGACAGAAGCGAAAGAGGAAGCCTAAAGCTACGGTTGACTGGCCATGGAGCGAGGTCACTTGGTAAGTCTTGTGTTTTTGTGTTTCTGCGCGACTGACTTCAATGCAGTTTTTGTCCAATTGGAGAGGAACCTCTGAGATACCTACTCGGCGATGCGTTTGGCCGGGTCGCAATGCTGTCCTTGCATGATGTCCCCAACCACGGTCTCATTCTGATACCGCTCGGAGAGGCAAGCTGATACTTTAATATGTTTCCACGTCTCCATCTCAATCTTATAGACCTCTCCACCAAGCTCTCTGACCTATTTGACAAATGGTGTTATCTTCGTGGGCTCACATGCGGGCGATTCGCAACTGATTCGGATTCACGATGAACCCTTGCCGTCTTCCTCAAAGGCACCTGCTCTTCCCACACTTCCAATCCCGCATGATATTGAGACATTTCCTCCTGCACGACTGGTTCCCCCTGTGTCTAACAAGGACTCCGACATAGAAGCAGATGTGGAAGTGCGTGACTGCATCCTAGAAGAACAGGGCTCGTATCTCCAAGTAATTCAAACCTTCAAGAACATCGCACCAATCCGGGACGCTGTTATTGTGGACACCGACGAGAGTGGGCATGTCAGTATCATTTCAACGCCCCCACTTCGACTTGATCTGATCTATTCTTGTTGTAACTTAGTCGGAAATTGTCACCTGTTCTGGTGGACAAAACACAGGGTCAATCAACATCATTCGGAAAGGCGCAGACTTGCAGCAACTCGGTATGATTGCGGGAATGCCACATCTAGTGAACGTTTTCGCTTTGAAGAGGGTGCAAAGTGATCCGTATGTTCCTCTTGACCCCTCATATATGAGTTTGACAATCGCCCAGGAAGCAGTCTCACATCCTCTTGTCAACAATCAACACAGCGCAATTATTAGAGATTGAGAGTATTGATAACTTTGTTCGTGTGGATGTGCTCAATGGAGGCTTCGTCGCCGAACGCACGCTGGCGGCGAAGAATGTCCTCCAGAAAAACATCGGCAGTGCAATACGGCGTGGTGGGAAGGAAATCCAGGCCGCCACGGCAACATACGAGGCTACATCTTTTGTAGTCCAGGTCACCCCTAATGGTGTATACCTGCTGGACTTTGAGATCGACTCGACTTGGGAAAGGAAACATGAAGTTAAAGCCGACTCTCTTGGCGGTGGAGTCGCTACCGCATTAGAGATCGTCGCTGCTGACATCAACGCATCACAAATTGTGCTTGCGACTGGCAATGGCGTATTGACGTGCCTCGAAGTTTCTGGGAACACTTTGCAAACAAGTGCTCAAAAGCACTTGTCAGTTGAAATATCTGCCATTTGTTGCGCACCATTCGACCCGAAAGCGAATTCTTCAAACATTGCCGCGGTTGCTTATTGGCGGACCAATCAAATACAGCTTTTCGATCTCAGCAATCAGCGGCCATTCAACGAGATATGCATAACCCAGTCATTACCCAGTGTCGTCCGCAGCCTCCTTTTGTTCGATTTCCAAGCCAGTGGGGGCGCTCAGCCGCATCTTTTTGCCGGATTGGGCAACGGGTCGCTCGCGATCTTCACATGGGACTCGACATTACAAGTTCTCGGCAAACTGAAACTCGCATCTCTAGGTGCCCTTCCAGTTGCGCTGACGCCGTATACTCTACCAGACGGAAGGCGTGCTGTTCTTGCCACTGGAAGTCGCGCAGCGGTTTTGACTTGGGAGCACGAGCGACTGCAAGTCTCCCCGGTCATGTTGAAAGACGCAGTTGCGACCACTCAACTGCACGCTGAAGGCTACGAGTCCTCGCTCTTGATAGCTAATGATTCAGCTCTTTTCATCTCACAAGTGCGGGATGTTGACAGTATGCATATACGATCGGTTCCTTCTGGACCGGATGTTCCCCAGAAAATTGTCTATGCTCCATCATTGAAGGTCTTCGGGGTGACATATTCACGCAGTGCACCCACCAGAGTTGGAAGCGAGGAGCCCGCTGTCCAATCGTTCTTCCGCTTACTTGATGATTCGAGTCTTACCCGTTCGTTATCTACATTCCTTTGGCTACAACTAACATTTCGTAGAACTGAGTGAATTTGAACCCAAGGCGTCGGAAGAAATTACCTCTGTCGCCACCCTGATCAGCGGCGAGGATGAGACAGTGCTCTTCTGTGTTGGGTCATATAATGTTGATCTCCACGAAAGCGAGCCAAAATCAGGCTGTCTGCGAGTCTTTTCTGCACATCCCCTCGGTTCAGACGCACGTTCAAGTCTGGATCTTCAACTACTCGCCTCTTCCGACATTCCTGGCTGTGTCTATGATGTCAAGACGGTAAACGGACTCATCGCAGTTGGCGTAAATTCTTCCGTGCGTAGTTGCTGTTACTATTACTCTTCTAACCGCTCCCAGGTCCTTCTTTTCCGCCCAGACATTAATTCCGTCGCAAGCACTTTCTCGCTTCAACAGGTCTCGCGAATGAATTCAAACTACTTTGTAACATGTCTCTCCAGTTACGACAACCGACTTGTCTTGGGAGACCAAATTGCGTCCATCTCTCTTGTCGAAACAATGGAAGATCTGCGGCTGCGGACTCTCGGCAGGGATTTGGCTCCATTGTCGCCTGTTTGTGTCCAGGCAGTCAATGAAAGACACATTCTGGCTGCCAACGTCAGCTCACATACTGTATACGCTCTTGATCACTACTGACGCCAACGCAGGATACTCTCAATTTACTTTCCTTTTCGTTTGACGAGAAGACGAAGAAGCTCGACCGAGATGGGTACTATCAGCAGTCGGATTTAGTCAATAAGCTTGTGCCAGGTACTTTCATCTTACTTGGTGTATTCTCTACCAACTCCTTGCAAAGGGTCAATCGCTTCTGCAGAGACTGGGAGCCCACTCAATCCTATCCAGATGTTCTTCACATCGTCTGGCCGGATTGGAGTGATAGTTGATGTTCAGGACGATCAGCTCGCCCTTCACTTGACTGATCTGCAGCGAAATATGTATCGCGTGGTAGAGGACGGTGACCGACACAAGAGGTGCGCGCGCGCGTTATTTCCTAATTCATTACATCAGCTCATCAATCTAGGTTGCGAACACCACAATCCGGGGCGCGTCGTCGCGTTGGGGAGGAAGCTTACGGATTCCTCGATGGTGACTTCCTAGAGCGTTTGCTATCTATTCCAGACAGCCAGCTAGCAGAAATCGAAAAGGGATCGAATGAGCACGAACGGCTCAAGCGACCGATTGCTGACTTTGTGCAGCTGCTGAAAAATCTTCAATCTTTACACTGATCCTTTTTTCTGTAAACAAACATTCTGTCGCTTGCTTAGAAAGTTATCTGTGCATTGTATCATTGACATAAGTAGCATGTACTAAGACTTTTCACTTCCATTGACAGTGCGAATCACGTGATAAACACGGATCATTTAAAAAATTGACTACTTACAGTAGCTCCTCCGATGGCCCCGTCTTCCCTTCCTCCTCCTGCAAAAAAGCGCAAGATCCAGAAGCACTCAGACTTTGTCGAGTCTGTTAAAGCCATTGAAGATCAAATCGTAGCGGCAGCGACGGCAAACGGCTCGCTCAACCCACTAGCGGATTTGTTGGAACTAGCCCTCGAGGCAAAGGACGCTCAAGATGTTTCAAAAGCCATATACTCGTTATATCGAGTATTTGTGGTCGTTGTTTCTGGAGGGAAGCTCAACAGTGGAGGGGATGAAGCGGCGAAGATAGTCAGGGCATGGATATGGGAGCGTTTGAATGTCTATGTTGATTTCTTGTGTGGGTTGCTCAAAGACGAGGAGAAAACATTACGGGTGCGTTCTCCTTGCTCCCAGGCTGGTTGCTTCTCATCGAGACAGATATCTGCGCTCCAAATCTTGTTCTCCCTCCAAAAACATCTTTCAACAGCAGCCACCGCTTCTGAGGGCCAGCCTCAATTCCACATCAACCATTTCCGAAAAATTGTTTCCGCCGTGCTCCTCTGCCCACCATCTTCTCGGTTGGCTCAGAGTAGCACTGGGTTTTTGGATGCGGATGTTCTCCACTCGTTCCACGAAACATGGTTCAGTGTCCACGATGATGTAAGGTGGTTTTTCCTGCGTGAGGCAGGGTGAGCCTTATCTTTTGTTCTACGTCTCTATGCTGAAGACAACTCAGGACGATGTTGAGCTCATTAACAGCCGAGTTCGCACCGCAAAATTTACTCTCTGTTCTTGAAGGCTTGGCGACATTTCCTACTGAAAAGGCCGAAATCAATGCTTGGTGGGTAACCGAACTCGCAGCCAAGCCGCCCAAGCCAAAATCTTCAAAGAACGCCGAGTCTGATGATGACGACGAGGACGAGCCACTAGAACAGGATGATGACTGGCGCAAATTTTTCGATGAAGATTCTTCGGCGAAAGAAAAATTGTCTACTAAGAAGTCGGCAACCAGGTTACATAAACTGAGCACCCACCAGTCTCTTCATTCACTCCAGTCACACCGCGCCGTATTCACCCGCGCCTGGTTAACGCTCCTGCCCAGGCTTTCTGCGATACACGACAAAATGGCAAAGAAGGGGCTCTTACAAAGAGCACTGAATGTGATGCATCGGGGCGTTATGCCCCACCTCTCACGGCCGGTCTTGATCATGGACTGGGTCGGTGGAAGTGTTGACTACGGCGGCACTGTTGGGCTGCTTGCCCTCAATGCCCTATTCATGTTGATGAAAGACTACAATCTGTGTGTACCTTGCGTGCTGCATCAACAAACATTGACGTTCATCTCAGCGATTATCCTTCATTTTACACTAAACTTTATGCATTTTTGGATAGAGATGTCCTGCATTCAAAACATCGGGCACGATTCTTCCGCTTGACGGAACTGTTCCTCAGCTCAACGTAAGTTTACTCGACTGGTAGGTTGTTGTCTTTCTGACCCAGTGCTTAGACACCTTCCCGCAGCTCTTGTAGCATCTTTTATCAAACGACTCGCTCGCCTCTCGCTTGCTGCCCCGCCTGCAGCTATCGTTCTGATCCTCCCCTTCACATATAACGCCCTGAAGCGACACCCTGCCCTTATGCCTATGATCCATCGTCACGCCGATGCTGACTCAACCACGGACGTATTCGATGCAGCGGAACCCAATCCAAATCTCACTCATGCCATCGACAGCTCGCTTTGGGAGCTCTCATCTCACCGCTCACACTGGCTCGCTGGCGTATCGACTATGAGCAGGATCCTCGAAGAGGCATTCACAAAGCAAAGTTATGCCATGGAGGACTTTCTCGATCACACCTATGGCACAGTAAGCTAATAACATCTGGTGTCCTCAGAATCTACTCAACCTTGACCAGTTATTCGATGCCGACGCAAATAGGAAAATCAAGAAAGAGCCACCAGTGGCTATGGACATGACAAAGGGTTTATTTGGGAATGAGGGTGTAGAGGGTGACGTTGTGTCTGAGCTGTGGTCGTTCTAACAGGCTGAAGCTTGTAATTGCTGATCAGCCTGACAAACCTAATGGTACCTGATCACTGGCGCAGCTCCCGCGCCACCTTTTCCACCAATATGAATCCCATTCCCCCCAACACCCCCGACGCCTCCCATGATGACGTTGGCTTGCATCGTTCTCAGATCAACATTTGGTCCTTCTCCATCCCCTCCCTCTCCGCCGATATATCCGTGGCCACCGGCGCCGCCTACCCCACCTGTGATGACAATCCGTCTTTCTATATCCGTCTTTCAATATTGAGCAGAGTGAATCCGATTGAACCTACCGAATGCGACAGCGTCAACTTGCGAGGTCTGCCCAGTCTGCTGGAGAGAGGAGACTTGACTGACCCTGAGATTGTGGACCGTTTCCGAAAGCTGACTAACGTTTTCAAACTGGCACACGAGTTAAGATCAGGTCTACACTGAGCCGAAAACGCACCGTCGAGTCGATTATTATGGTGGTGAGAACGTCGTTGTGGCGTGAAATAGCTGAGGCATCATCGTTGCTATTGAAAAACTGGGCCACCTTGCCTTGAGCCATAGCTTGCTCAAGATCACGTTGGATGGAAGCGAGTTCACTGGGAAGAGGATGAATAGGGCGTGTGTGTGTGACGGCTTCAACACTCACCGCTGGAGGCGCTCAATAACGACTTGCCCGTTACTGGCCTCACTTCTCGCCACGATCATCCTGAGCGAATCAATGCGAGCGGCCAAGTCGGCGAGAGCCCGCTGGTTCCACATACTTTGCTAGGACGATGTTAGATACGCAGAAATATCAGTAGGTGGGAGTCATACATCCAGTCTATTTAATACATCGAGCAATGGCTCAATGACGCCGTTGAGTGCCGTACAGAAAGGGATGTTTCTCGAGACGGAGCCTAGCGTCTGCAGCGAAACAACAAAGATGTTTTTGGCTATCGACGGTGGTGTTGGTAGCGCTAATGCTGTTTCTTTTTTCCCAGCATCGTCGCTGGTGGCGTCATCACTGGTCGGGCTGCTGACAAGTGTCGTCTCCGAAATTTGTGAACTGTTTGTTCTTGACCTCCGCATGCGAGGAAGGGAGAGGGAGGGCATGCGGAACCGGCTTGGTGTGGACATGGCGTCTCTTGGAAGAAGACATCTACACAGCTGAAGCTGTTTTTAAGGCTGTCAGTTAGGCGCCGGTGACTGTGGGCGAACATTTGAGGTTGATCAGCGCTCAGCTGCCATCTCACAGCTTTACAGCTGATAAGATAGCCCCACGATTCCGATATTGCAATCGATGTGAACAAGACATCCTTCGACCTTCTGGACGGACTTAACCGGGTTATTCTGTGCCATATTTAGGATCTACTCGGAACTGCCAGTGGGAGTATATCCGCTGGCGCTGTTGGCACTGTGGTAATAGTAGGGTACCTCCGATTTTTGTTGTCACTGCCTCAGTCACAAAGCCGTATTACAGGACCTGATTTATGAGGGTTTGTCTATAAGGTGTACTACCTGAAAATATTTTGGTCATTGCTTATCTATGATAGTGTGTGAACTAGCTCCAGAGACTGATAACTCAGGTCTGGCAATTTGGGAATTTGAGATAGTAATAATATTAGAATCACCTGCTAAGCCCAATTATCTACTCTAATTAGAATGAAGACCCCACTGCTTAGCAGGTGGGATACCACTACTCGATGGGGACTTCATTCCACTACTTTTTCAGGGCGACGAGGGAACGTAAAATGGGCAAACGAGTAAGTTACACAACTATAATCCTGCCATTCAGGATATTCACGATGTATCTCGTTGTCTAAGGCATAATCTCGGCGGCGGCTGGTCGTACATGGGCTTTCCACACTCTGGGCAATCCCAATGATGCTCGAGATGCATGAAAATGCAAACGTAGCAAGTGCTGTGCTTACAGTTGGGGAACCTGCGGCGGCTTGTCAGGACAGGAACAACTTCACGTAGGCATTGGGCTCGTACCACACTGGCTGCGACTTCACAAGTTGGCAGCACGCACACTTGAAGATAGGACGAACTTCCGGCAGTGGAGGCGGGCGAGCTTGTGAGGAGTAGAGACTTTCGCGGGTCGGGAAGCCTTGTGGGAAATCACGCTGTCCCACAAGCTCCTCGGGCTTTGGTCGCTCCCTGCCTGATGGTCGCTCTTTCCCTTTGACAGCCTGGTCGAGGCGATATGCCAAGTCGTACAGGTCAGCCGCTACATTTAGTGGTGAGCGAATGACTCTCTGCTGATAATAACTCACCGTCAGGCTTGCGTCCTGGTGCAATCCATCAGGTCGGCATACCAAAGTGCAGGAGGGATGGACACTTACGCATTTTAATCGTATACGCGTCAAGCGTTGATTGCTTGCTTTTGGGCGCACGCGCGGTTCCGACTGGGTTGGCCATTGACGAGCGTGTGTAAGGGCAACCCTGGAGGCCTGAGGTCAAGGTCCTAGCAGGGGAGGATCCAAAGGAGTGAATAACAGTAAGCAAATACAAAGGAAGCTGACCTAGCAGGGGAGGATCCAAAGAGAAGAAACTCTAAGGGTCCGCCTGCTAGGTAGCTGAACTATATACTGCGCTCTTGACGCGCCAAGATTGATCGTTGCTCCATGCAGTATGCCTGCGCCATGTCGCAGGCCAGGTCCCAGGGGGATCGCCAGGCGGAGGCGGTGATGCGATTGATGGCGGTGATGCGATCACCGGAGTCGGAATCAGGGCGATTCCGGGCTGAAAGGGAGGTTCCCCTGACATCACCCCCCCCTTTGAATGCGGCGTCCCGACGCATAGATCGGAAAGGGATTGTGTCGAAGGTCGCAGAGGCGATGTGCCGTGGTTTGCCGGGATACCTACGATAGAACTCCGCGATTTTGTCTGGGGCGAAGACGCGGTCGAAGCGGACCCACTGGTCGTGCGAGGCGTCGTAGCCTTTCCACCTAACAAAGTAGTTCAGCCGCCTATACCTGATCCTAGCGTCCAAGATCTCCTCTACTTCCCATTCCGGGACTCCATCCTCAAGGTCTGGAGGGGGCTGGTCGTAGCCGGGGCGTCCATCGAAGGGGTCATCTTGAGCGAGCTCGAGCTTGACAACGGGGAAGACGGGGTGGAGCTTCGAGTAGCGGGGAGGGAGGTTGAGCTTGTAGGCACCTTTGCTGATCTCCGCGACTATCTTGAATGGTCCCAGACGGCGGTGGGAGAACTTTTCCGAAGGGCGAGTCGTCCTGATGTCAGAGGCATCCAGCCAAACACGGTCGCCAACCTTAAACTCCGGAGACGGAGTGCGTCTCCGGTCGTAGTAGCGCTTGTACTCCTCTTTGGCTTTGGTGAGCGCGGCCTTGGCTTCGGCGACACCAGTGGCGATCCGGTCGCGGAACTCGTTCACCGACTCCATGGCGGAACGGACTCCAGGTTCGAAGCCCATGCGCGGGAGCCGTCCCGTGTCCGTCATAAAGGGGACTTGTTGCGTGGAGGAGTGAACGTGGTTGTTGTAGGCAAACTCCGCGGCCGGAATCAGCTCGTCCCCAGTCGTCCTGCTGATAGTTGGTGAAGATCCGCAGATACTGCTCTAACTCCTGGTTGACGCGCTCTGTCTGACCGTCCGTCTGTGGATGATACGCGGTGGACGTGGCAGGCTTGATGCCGATTAGACGCCAAAGTTCTCGGGTGAAGTCCGCGATGAACTGTGAGCCGCGGTCGGAGATGTACTTTTCCGGAGTCCCATGATGGCGCCAGACGTTCCGGTAGTAGAGGCGGGCTGCTCCTACTGCGTCGACCGTGGTGTGGCACTCTGAGAAGTGGGCTCGCTTTCCAAGGGTGTCCACAACGACCATGATCGCGTCGTGTACCCATGCGCCTCAGGGAGCTCAACGATGAAGTCAACGGAGACGGTATGCCAGCGCTCCGGGGGTGTTTCCGTCGGGTGCAACTCTCCGTGGGGCAGTCTCCAGAGTGCCTTGGTGCGACAGCACAGGTCACAGGTTGCGACGTACCGGCCAATGTGGCGAGACATCTGAGGCCACCAGTAGTTCCGGGAGACCAACTCCAAGGTCTTGAAGCGACCAGCGTGTCCAGCGACTCGGGTGTCGTGGCAGAGCTCGATGATGCGTCTCCGCAGGTCTTTGTCCTTTGGTACGACAATCTTCCCACGAAAGTGGAGAAGGCCGCCGGAGACGGCCCACTCGTCGGAACGTGAGGAGCGGGGGCCTCGAGCTTGACCTTGGACCTTAAGGAGTTGCCGGGCCGCTAGTGCGACGGGCTCTTCCAGATCAGGCTCACCAGATAGGGCGTCACGAATGTCGCGAAGGAGTTCGGAACCGGGGCCAGAGACGGAGACGCCTTCGAGTGCGCGGACGTGGAAGAGTTCGGGTCGCAGGAGGACGACATCGGAGTTGTCGGAGTTGATTCCATGGTCAGGTCTCCGGGAGAGAGCGTCAGGTCGGCCCATGTCACGACCGGGTTTGTGGTGCAGCCTGAAGTCGAACCAGGAGAGGTAAAGGGACCAACGGGCTTGTCTCCGGTTGAGGTGCTGCGTCTTCCTGAAGTACTCCAAATTCTTATGGTCAGTCCAAATCTCGACAGGGTGCGCAGCGCCCTCGAGGAAGTGTCTATACTCCTCGAGTGCGCGGATGATCGCCAGCATCTCCTTGTCGTGGATTTCGTAGTTGCGCTGGACATCATTTAAGCTTTTGGAATAGAACGCTACAGGGTGCCACTTCCCGTCCGGGGCGGATTGTGAAAGAACCGCCCCCGTCGCATAATCAGAGCTGTCCGCCTCGAGTCGGAAAGGCCGTGTGTCGTCTGGAATCGCCAGAACCGGTTCCGAGGTGACCGCGTCCTTGATCGCCTGGAACGCGGAGGCCTCTGCGTCGCCCCAAGTCCACTTCTGGTCCTTCTTGGTAAGCGCAAAGAGCGGTCGCGCGAGGGCTGAGAAGTCCCGAATGAACCTGCGGTAGAAATTAGCAAACCCAAGGAACTGCTGAACATCCTTCTTGTTTTCTGGAGTCGGCCAGGCGGAAACGCCTGCAACCTTGACGGGGTCCATTTCGACGTGGTTGTGGGAGATGATGACTCCAAGGTACTCGATTGACGATTTTTCGGAAGTCGCACTTCTCCGCTCGGAGGTACAACTTGTGCTCTCGGAGTCGCCGTAAGACCTCCTGAACGATCTGCCGGTGTTTCCGAAGGTCCGAATGGGCGATTAAGATGTCGTCAAGGTAGATCGTGACGTCTCCGGAGAGGATGAGGTCCTGAAAAATGTCATTCATCATCGTTTGGAACGTCGCAGGGGAGTTTGTCAGGCCAAAATACATCACCAAGGGCTCGAACAGGCCTCGGTTAGTCCGGAAAGCCGCTTTCCACTCGTCACCTTCTTTGATCCGGACGTTGTTAAAGCCCCAACGAACGTCAAGTTTAGTAAAGTAACGAGCGCCTTTGAGCCGGTTGATGAGGTCGTTGATCAGCGGAAGGGGGTACCGGTTTTTGACGGTCATCGCGTTAAGGGCCCGGTAGTCCTGGACAAAGCGGAGTCCGCCATCCTTTTTTTTGACGAAGAAGACTGGAGACGCCATCGGAGACTTGGAGGGGCGAATCTGGCCCGTCGAAAGCCCTTCCTCAATGAACGCGTCGAGCTCGCGTTGCTCGAGGGGCGAGATGGGGTACACCTTGCAGTTGGTAGGCTTGGCGTCAGGGACGAGTTCGATGGCGTGGTCCCAGGCTCTCCGTTCCGGTAATGTGTCGAAGGACTCCTTGTTGAAGACATCTTCGAACTCCCTAGCCCAGTCTGGGATCTCAGAGGGCGGAGGCGCGGAGTTCCTGGCGAAGGCTTCGGCTAGGCGCTGCGAGACGGTGCTGCCAGCACGTATCTCCTCCGAGGGACGGAACGAGGTGTAGAAGATGCGGTCACCATCTTCGAGTTGGTCATCGTCGTCGTCGTCATCGGAGTCTGGCGTCAGATCAGGCAGACCGGAATCACCATCGGAAACAGATTCGCCTTCGTCGTCAGGACCAGACAGGTCCATGGCGCAGATCGAGGGGAACGGGCCGGAGCGGAGGCGCTTCTGGAGTAGCCGGAGTCGCCGTAACTCGGCCCGTTCAACACGTTCTTCCTCGCGGCAAGTGGAGCA